AAACGATTGATTCATTTCAATACTGTCAAATCATTTGTAAAAACAAAATCAATAAATTTACATTGGAAATTATCATTACAAATCGAAAAATTTCATACAAAAAATCATTATGGTTTTTCATATGGAAAATTCGGTATGATTAGCATGGCCGGTTTGGTTCGGGTAAGTATCAATCAATCAATCTTTGAGCATTTTAATTTTTTTTTTCAATTCCATGAAACAACAACCAACAATCAAAATCGATCAGTTTTCACTCATTTATTGTAAATTACTTATGATGGTTTATAAACAAAAAAATAAACACTAAAATATTCAAAAATTTCATTGTAAAATTCGGCAATTGTTATTGTTGGTTTATTCGGAATTAATTATAATTAATTCAATTTCATTTTTTTCATTTGGGAAGAAAACTTTTCTATTCTTCCATGCATATTCTGTTATTCAAATTCGATAGAAATTTTAATTTTGCGTCACCAACACACACACACACACACAGAATTGACGACCAAAAATAAAGATTATTTAATGATAATTTGGTAATGAAAATTTCATAAATTCAATTTTCATCAAAAATAGCAATTCTTTACCGGTGAAAAAAAATTGATTATCAAACCATGATTTAATTCTAATTTTTAAACTTCGTTTTCCAAAAAAACGTTCATATTAGTGAAATTTTTTTTTTGTTTCTCTGATATGCATAATAATTGAAATAAAAACAACAAATCCTATTCATTTTATTATCATTTTTATTTTATTATTCTAAAATTCATCAGCTAAGAATATCATTTGGCGTTTGTATATTTTTCAGCAACAATGTCATCATTGATAGAGAATATTGGAAAACTATTGATTATCATCTATCAATGGTTTTGGCCAAATCCTAAACAATATTTTAAACATATTGATTCGATTATGATGGCCATTCAAAAGAAAAATTATCGAATTATTCATTATCATCAATATTTTCTCAAAATTTTATCGACGGCATGGATAAGATTTTTGTTGATCTATATTCTACCATCGTCAAATCAATATCGTATTATTTTTTTCGATTCATGTCAATATTTTCAAATTACTAATGAAGGAAATCTTGTTTTATCATTCTTATATCTTTCATTGATTTATATGTATAAATACTTTTTCTCTAACAACAATTGTCAATTGAATTCGAATGTAGTTGATTTGATTCTTGGAAAACGAAATAATTTTATTTTTAAAAACAAATCACCAACAATAGAATGGTCGAATCGTCTACTAAAAAGAATTCGTAAACATATTGTTCGTCATAACCTGGAAATTTGTATGACAGGTAAGTAGTGGTGGTTTAAAACAACAAAATTTAATTGAATAATTGAATTCTCTCTTGTTCTTTTTATATGATTTTTGATGAACAAATCAGGATCGTTTCTTTTTCTTGTACCATTTTATATTGTAAAACAAGTGATGATAAATTGGTCAGAATTTTTTGATTCCGATTATCCACATTTTTTTGGCTATATTAAAATTATTACAGCTTTAACTACTTCAGTTTTAGCCATATTTGATTGTTTTTTTGCATTTCATATGGTTGAATTATTATTTACATTTATACTTTGTTTCTATTGGCTTATATCAATCGAATATGATCGAATTAATCAAAAAATTCAGAAAAAACAACCATCAAATCGATTGTTGGCATTGTTTATACGTGAAAATACAGAATTATTTATATTTGTAAATCGTATATTTCGCTCATATTCAGTCATTTTTCTTGCCTATCTTGTTGGTTTTTTACCAACCGATCTTTATCTAATATCATGTTTGATGAAAATTTACGATAATGAACTAAAAGCAGATATCAAACAATTAGTATTTATATTAACCTGGATAGCATCACATGTTGTAGGAATGTTCGGTGTACATTATGTTTGCACCCAATATTCAAATTGTATCCATTCGAATGGTATTAAACGATTGATTCATTTCAATACTGTCAAATCATCTGTAAAAACAAAATCAATAAATTTACATTGGAAACTATCATTTGAAATTGAAAAATTTCATACAAAAAATCATTATGGCTTTTCATATGGAAAATTCGGTATGATTAGTATGGCAGGTTTTGTTCGGGTAAGCATCAATCAATCAATCTATGAACATTTTAATTTTATCTCTATCTTTTTCTTTTCTTTCAATTCCATGAAACAACAACTAACAAAATTGGTCAGTTTTCACTCATTTATTGCAAATTACTTATGATGGTTTATAAACAAAAAAATAAACACTAAAATATTATTGCAAAATTAGGTCTTTTTTGTTGTTGTTGTTAGTTGTTTCTTTTATGTTCGTTAATAATAATAATAATAAAATTCATCTTCATTTTTTTTCATTCATATATAAATTGTGAAATGAACAAAAAAATCCAATTAAAATTTTTTAAATTTTACGTTCATTTTTACTATTAATGAATTTTTTCAAAAAAACTTTTTTAATCGCATTCTACTTTTTCAGATGAAAAATTCAATCGAAATTTCAATTTTTCACCACTAAAAATGACAATGAAAAAAAACTTTTTCAATGATAGTGATGAAAATCAAATGATACTTGACAAAAATTTGTATTTTTTGGTTTTGTTTTTTTTGGTGTCAAGCCATGGTTAGAAATATTTTTCAACTCTCAAAGAAAATCGAACCATTTAATTTTCATTTAGAAGAAAGGCAAAAATCGATTACCGCACAATAATTTAGCAACCCCTAATTTAAAAAGTGGATCAAGATTTTTCACAAACAACAAAAGAATTTGTTAATGAAAATCATTCTTGATTTCATAATAACAATAGTGAAAAAATAAAAACCGACAAAACTTTTTTATTTAATAATCATTTTAGTTTCATTGTTTTATGTTTCATCTACTCAAAATCTTTACTCTGTTGGTTTCGTTTTGTATTTCTTGCCATAATGTTATCGTTAATAGAAAATATTGAAAAACTATTCACAATAGGTTATCAATGGTTTTGGCCAAATACAAAACAATACTTTGAAGATATTGATTTAATTGTGACAGGAATTCTACAGAAAAATAACAGAATAATTCTCTATCATCAATATTTTCTCATGTTTTTATCAGCATCAATGATAAGATTTTTTCTAATCTATATTCTACCATTATCAGATCAATATCGTATTGTTTTATTCGATTCCTGTAAATATTTACAGCTAACTAATGGAGGAAATTTAATCTTTTCATTACTATTATTAGCAATGATTTATATGTATAAATATTTTTTCTCAGAAAATTATTGTCAATTGAATTCGAATGTTGTTGATTTGATTCTTGAAAAACGAAATGATTTTATTTTTAAAAACAAATCACCAACAATAGAATGGTCTAATTATTTACGAAAAAGAATTAGTACACATATTGTTCGCCGGAATTTGGAAATCTGCATGACAGGTAAGGCTAAGGTGGTTATATCGTTCAATTAAATATAATTCTTGTCATTCTTGTCAGGATCGTTTATATTCTATTCACCACTTTATGTTGTACAACAAGTGAAGATAAATTGGTCAGAATTTTTTGACTCTGATTATCCTCAATTGTTTGGCTATTTGAAAGTTATATCAGCTTTATTAACTTTAACATTAAACATAATTGACTGTTTTTTTGTATTCATTATGGTTGAATTATTATTTACATTTATACTATGTTTCTATTGGATTATATTGATTGAATATAAACGAATTAATCGAAAAATCCAGAATGAACAACCATTAAATTCGTTGACAAATCGATCGTTGACATTGTTTATACGTGAAAATACCGAATTATTCATATTTGTAAATCGTATATTTCGTTTATATTCAGTAATTTTTCTTGTTTATCTTGCTTGTTTTTTACCGGCCAATCTTTATCTTGTATCATGTTTGATAAAAATTTATGATAATGAACTGGAAGCAGATATCAAACAATTAGTATTTACATTAACCTGGATAGCATCACATGCTGTTGGAATGTTCGGTGTGCATTATGTTTGTACCCAATATTCAAATTGTATCCATTCGAATGGTATCAAACGATTGATTCATTTGAATACTATCAAATCATTTGTAAAAACAAAATCAATAAATTTACATTGGAAACTATTATCACAAATCGAAAAATTTCATACAAACAATCGTTATGGTTTTTCTTATGGAAAATTTGGCTTGATTAGTATGGCCGGTTTGGTTCGGGTAAGCAATCAATAAATCAATCTTTGAACATTTTAAATTTTATCTCTATCTTTGTCTTTTCATTTTCTTCAAATTCCATGATAAAACAACCAACAAAAATTGATCAGTTTTCACTCATTTATTGTAAATTACTTATGATGGTCTACAAACAAAAATATTTACACTAGTAGAATCAAAAAACATCATAATTCTATGTTTTCATTTTTTCAAAAAGAAAAAATTCGCTAGAAATTTCAATTTTACGTCACATTATCTAATGATAATTACATTATTATTATTATTTTTTCTCAATTTTCATTATATAAAGTGATAAGAACAGAATTTCAAAAGAAAAACTAATAAAAACGTCACATTTAATTTTTATTAAATGTAAAAATATAACCATTCTTTCAACAGTTAATGCTAAAATATCATTAAAATTTTTTTCATTGTAAAATTTGCTCACTATTTTTTTTATTTTTTTTATTTTTTTTTTGGTTGTTAATATCTCATTCAGGTAATAATGATGATGATAATAATTAATTCATCATTCACAAAATGCATTTGAATAAGAATTGCGAAAAATTTTTTTTGGTTTATTTTTTTTTTTGTTTCAAATTCGTTAGAATTTTCATTCTATATTTTTTGCTTCACTCACAATTCATCGTGCACTCACACACACAATTCAACAGAATTAAACACATTAAACAAAACAAAAAAAATTTGAAAATTTAAGAATTTTCAAAAATAAAAAAACCTTACCTTACCAGTTTTTTTCTATTTCAAAAAGAATAAAAAAATCGATTACTGTGCAATAATTTGGGCAAATTCGATTGTTTTTTGTTTTGAAAATCATTTTTTTTTGTTTGCACTATAATGATGAAACGAATAACAAATCAACCATTTTTTATTATCGTTTCAGTATTGTAAAATATATTGACCAAGAATAATCATTGTTTTGTTGTTGTTTTTACTTGAATCTGTTCATATCATTATAATAATGTTATCATTAATAGAAAATATTGAAAAACTATTGACAATAGGTTATCAATGGTTTTGGCCAAATACAAAAAAATATTTTGAAGATATTGATTTAATTGTGACAGGAATTCTACAGAAAAATAACAGAATTATTTGTTGTCATCAATATTTTCTCATGTTTTTATCAGCATCAATGATTAGATATTTTCTAATCTATATTCTACCATCGTCAAATCAATATCGTATTGTTATATTTGATTCCAGTAAATATTTACAGATTACTAATGGATGGAATCTTGTTTTATCATTCTTATTTCTTTCATTGATTTATATGTATAAACATTTTTTCGCTGAAAATTATTGTCAATTGAATTCGAATGTAGTTGATTTGATTCTTGGAAAACGAAATGATTTTATTTTTGAAAACAAATCACCAACAATAGAATGGTCGAATTATCTACGAAAAAGAATTCGTAAACATATTGTTCGTCGTAATCTGGAAATCTGTATGACAGGTAAGTGGTGGTTTAAAACAACAAAATTTAGTTGAATAATTGAATTCTCTCTCATTCTTTTTATATGATTTTTGATGAACAAATCAGGATCGTTTCTTTTTCTTATACCACTTTATATTGTGAAACAAGTGATGATAAATTGGTCAGAATTTTTTGATTCTGATTATCCACATTTTTTTGGCTATATTAAACTTGTTACAGCTATAACTACTTCTGTTACAGAAATATTTGATTCTATTTTTGCATTCCATATGGTTGAATTATTATTTACCTTTATACTTTGTTTCTATTGGCTTATATCGAGCGAATATGATCGAATTAATCAAAAAATTCAGAAAAAACAACCATCAAATCGATTGTTGGCATTGTTTATACGTGAAAATACCAAATTATTCATATTTGGGAATCGTATATTTCGTTTATATTCAACAATTTTCCTTGCTTATCTTGTTGGTTTTATACCGATCGATCTTTATCTAGTATCATGTTTGATGAAAATTTATGATAATGAACTAAAAGCAGATATGAAACAATTAGTATTTATATTAACCTGGATTGCATCACATGTTGTAGGAATGTTCGGTGTACATTATGTTTGTACCCAATATTCAAATTGTATCCATTCGAATGGTATTCAACGATTGATTCATTTCAATACTGTCAAATCATTTGTAAAAACAAAATCAATAAATTTACATTGGAAACTATCATTTGAAATTGAAAAATTTCATACAAAAAATCATTATGGTTTTTCATATGGAAAATTTGGCACGATTAGCATGGCCGGTTTTGTTCGGGTAAGTATCAATCAATCAATCTTTGAGCATTTTAATTTTCTCTTTTTCTTTTTTTTTCTTTCAATTCCATGATACAAAAACAATCAAAAAATCGATCAGTTTTCACTCATTTATTGCAAATTACTTATGATGATTTATAAACAAAAAAATAAACACTAAAAAATATGTTTAACATTCACACATTCACAATCACATATTGTATTAAAGATTTTATTCACTAAACAAAAAAATCACTTTATCAATTTCAAAAAATCAAAATCAAAATAAACAAAACAAAAAAAAAATAAGAAGGAAAATTTCGAATGCAAAAAAAATTCGAATACAAAAAAAATAATCGATTAATAATAATCGATTGTTTATTGACAATCGGCGATTGTCACTGCCATCTTTTGTCCACAAAAATAATGAAAACCAATACAAAACATATAAGCGTATAACTGAACAAAAACAACATAACAGTTCTTTTTAATTCAAATGGGTGCTTCTAAGCTTGATGCTTTCAATGGGAGTTGCTGCTCCCACTTGTGTTTTTGCTGTTACTTTCTTGTTGTATATCGAATATATTGAAAATGCCACTACCATTACCAATTTCACATATATGTTTGTGTGTGTTATTTACTTCTTTTTTTTTTTTTAATTTTTCGGTAAACATCCTTATATTGAAATGGATTATTAATTAATTAATAACTTAAACGTTTTTTTTAATATTCGTGTTTGATTGTAATCGATATTGTTGTTGTTGTTTTAGTGAAAAAAAGAAATCGAACGTTTTTTCTTTCGATCGATAAATGTAAGTTGTTGTTTTTTCGTTTGTTTATTTCATTCAGAAAACAAAAACATGTTTTTCTTTGTTTGAAATAGCAGTGAACAAAATTTTTTTCTGGTAAAATTGTGGAAGAAAAAAAAATGTCAACCATAATGGATTATGTTAATCAACGATCATCATCAACAACAAATACTACCAATAATAATAACAGTCATAATGAATCAATGGTGGTAAATTGTCGTAAATGTCGTCGATATGATCGTGAATTAAATAAAGTAAAAGATATAGCCATTTCATTACAACATTCGGTACAAATATTAGAAAATATTAAACGTATATCACGTGATGAGATAAAATGTTTACAAAATTTATTAACATTACGATCATCAACAGCGGAAAAATCATCAAAATCATCATCGAATTCAAACAATAACCATGATAATAATGATAACGATAATAATAATAATAATAATAATTCAACAAGAACATCCAAACAAATTGAACAATTACAAAAATTAATTCAATCATATGATAACGATCTGAATGATTGGAATCAACGTTATGATTCATTACGTTTATATCAATGTACAACCGGTAATGATGAACATATAAAATCATTATTACCGGAAAAATTACAAACACTTATACAAAGTGGTAATTTTATTGATGGACCTAATGGTATTGGCCATAATCATCATCATTTACAGATTGGTGCCGATGTTGATGGCCAAGGAATTATTGTATCATCAGCCGATAATTGTAATGATAATGATGATGATGATGAAGATGATGATAATAATTTAGATAATGATGATGGTGATAATATTCAACATGATATTAAACCACATTTAATTTATTTTCAAAATCCAATGTCAGGTCAAACATCAGCAACAGCCATACGTATTGATACAAATCGTTGTTTGCCTGGTACAGGTACACCGGCATTTTCATTTAATCAACCACCATTACCTCCACCCGCATCATATCATAGTTCGATCCACCAGCAACAACAACAACATCAACATCATCATCAACAGCAACAACAACATCATCATCAACAACAACAACAACATCACCATCATCAAAATCAAAATCATCATAGCAGTCATCATAGTAGTAGTCATCATTCAAATAATCATCATCATCAACAATCATCATTATCATCAAAACGTATTGTTTATTATCATTGCGATCATCCTGGTTGTTCATATCAAACGGAAAAACCTCGTCGTTTAAATATACATAAACGTTTACATTCAGGTGTATTAATTTATCAATGTGATTTTACCGGTTGTGGCTATATATCCGATTTGAAAGGTAATCTAAAAAAACATAAATTAACACATACTGGTAATACACCGCAACAACAATCATCTTCATCAACATCATCATCAGCAGCATCATCATCAGCTGCATCAACAGTAACATCAGCCATAGCATCATCATCATCATCACAAGCATTACGTGCAGCATTCGATGGTACAACATTCGGTGGTCTAGTTGATTGGACACATTCTATTAAATAAAAAAAAAATCAATTCATTCTTTTTTTTAAAAAATTGTTCATATCAAAAATTTTCTTCGTCTAAAAATCTAATTTAATCTATCTGGTGATGATGAGATGAGCAGGGAAAATTTCTTTTTTCTTTCGTTTTTTTGTTTGTTTGTTTTTGTTTTTTGTTTTGTTTATCATTCATTCGAAATATTAAAAAAATTTCATATAAAAATGAACATTGTTTTTTTTGGATGAGTTTTCTTTATTCAAACAAGGTTTTTTATGGATAAGGATTGAGAAAAATTTTGTTGTTGTTCATCATTTTGATATAAATGGTTGTGGGTGAATAGGGGGTGTAGAAAGATAAAATTCAATCAATCAATTTTGATTCGGATTTTATGTTGATACACGACGATCAGCTGAATTTTGCCTGGTTTCTTCCAATAATCGATCAATATCCGGTATAATACGATCGGGTAAAAATTTTTGATCATAACGTTTAACTGGATAACCAGTTATTGGATGAATGAGAAATTTTTCAAAATTCCAACGTATATCACGTGCATTTTTTGGTTTATATAATAATTTTTCTTCATTAACATTAAAACGTGTACGTGTTGATGGACAACAACGTTTAAGAAATTTATATATTATATGTTGATTCAAACCATTTACATCGATACGTTCGGTTAATGGAAATTTCGGTACGAAACCATTACCAGGTCGAACATATTTGATTGCATTATAGATTTCGGTAGCATCTCCGGTTGGTTCTTGCTGTTGTTTTTTTGATCATTGAAGGTGGTGAAAAGGGTTAAAAAATTTTTGAAAATTTCATCAAAAAATGACTTACATTCAAAAAATTATTGGATGGAAAACCAATAATAATCAATTGATCACCATATTTTTCTTTTAATTGATTATAGATTGGATATTCAATTGTTGATTCACAAAATGTAGCAACATTAACTAACAATAATGGTTTACCACGAAATTCACGAAAACGTAATAAACCATTTGATTCATTTAAATATGGAATTGAAAATTTCCATAATGAATCACCATCATTTGGTACTGAACATTGAACAAATGGTCGATCTTGATCTAAATCAACTAAAAAATGTGTATGTGAATCATCCAAATCTTCATTATGATCAAGACTATTGTTTACATTCGTACGAAATACATATGATGATGCATTAAATCTTGGTGAATTTAATGTTTTCGAAATGGATGATTTTAATTCATCTAAATCACGATTAATTGAATCCAACAGAGCGGATGAATTTACACGTTGACAATGATAATGATGATGACCAAACATCAATAAAATCAAACAAAATTGAATCGTTGATTTCATCGTTGCGTTTTTTTGATATTTTGCAGGTGGAAAAAAAAAGAAAATCTTGAATTTGCCGAAAAATTTAAATTTTATGTTCGGGTTTAAATAGTGTTCTGTGTGCGGCTGTGACAGACAGATAAAAGATTCGAACGTTAACAACAAAAAAAAGAGAAAGTTTTTTAACGATACTAACCTCGAATGCAAACAAAAAACACAAAACGATGATTATGATATTGATTATATCATATCATAAAAAAAAGTAACGAAGAAGACGTCAGCAACAAGAAGAAATTCGTTTTTTTGATTATGATAATGATAATTTCGTTATTTTGTTGTTCGATTCGTATCGAAACAAGTTTGCCCAAATATAAACGTTCTTCTCGTTTTTCTTTTTCCCCTCAACAACAACAACAATTTTTCCATGATTTTGAAATTGATAATTCGCTGTTGTTTTGATTGTTGTTTATCATATTTTTTTTCTTGGGAGGGAAAATTCTTTTGTTTTGTTCCTGATTATATTGTTTAAACAAAACCAAAAGAATAATAATTGTTTTTTTTTGATAACCAACGATAAATAAATGATGATGGACAAACAATGTTGGTCATCATCATTAAAATGGTTGATGGACATTGTTGTTGTTGTTTTTGGTTACCAAAATCAAGGACAACCAGTTTTTTTTTGTTTTCAAAATCCTGATTTGTTGAAATAATAAAAATTGCATAAACATAAAAATTTAGTTATCACATTTTCGTAGGAAAATAGGAAAAATTACCAGGATTATCATCCATCATCATTGCCGATTGTTTTCTTTTAAATTAATGAGGATGATGTGATAATTACAATAATCATCATCATCGTATAAGCGTATTTTGGCCGATGGATGGATCTTCTTTAGAATTTTCAATTGAAAATCAAATTGATGATGATAATTTTGCTTTGATTGATTAATCGATTGATTGATTGATTTTTTCCATTTCGTTTTCAATATCGGTCATGATTGATAATTGAATTTTCAAATCAAATCGACAAACAAAACAAACAAAACAAAAATTACAATTTGGTGATTACGACATTTGTGTGTGTGTGTGTGTGTGGATATCGAATTCGAACATTTGGATTTGGTAAACATTCGAATTTGCGAAAAAATCTGTGTCATCTAAACAATCGAAAGAAAAAAAATTTATAGCTTTTTTTCTAATGGAATGAAATGATTTGTTTACGAACAACGAAAATAAAATCAAAAAAATCTTTATCATTAAAGATGCTGTATAAATTTCCATTTGATGATGATAATAATTGATGTTGATTGTCGTTCGTTGTGGTGGTTACCATATTCACAAATATCCTAAATGGATAATGTTGTTGTTGTTGTTGAAAGTTCAATAATGTCATCAAAAATTGTTTGTTTGTAAAGATTACGATTACGATGATGGTGGTGAAAATAAATGAAAAAATCAAACGATCAAAAACAATGTCATCATCATCATTATGGAAAACGAAGAAAAAAAAGATTAAAATACGTTATATTTGAATGAAACAAAACAAAAAATGATTGATTGGGAAATGGATGATTCGAATTCGAACCAAGTTTCAAAAAAAAAAAAAAAAACAAAGAATGGTCATGGCCATCCACATTTTTAATGATTTTTTTTCTGAAATTAGACCAGAGTTTTTTAAAAAATAATACATTTTGTTTGTTTATTTCAGATAATCCAAAAAAAAAGCAGGAAAATTTCCCTAACCTTCCCCCTGAAAAAAAAGATTTTTTAGATAAGTATTTTGAATGTAAATTCATTTTTGTTTTTTTAATTTTTTTTCATCAATTTTTTTCGATCTTCAAGAATAAATTCAGCACCACGTTCACCTAGCATAATAGCAACCGAACCCATACTACCAGTTGTTATTTCCGGTATAACCGAATTATCAATAATACGTAATGAACGTATACCAATAACACGAAAACGTTCATCAACAACAGCACCACCATTATGATGATCATTTTTTGTACCCATACGACATGTACCAACATAATCACCAATTGGCATTGTCATCTGACGGGCTATACATCGTAAATATTGATCCAATGCATTTGATTTTTTATTTGAAACTGTTTGCTGTTGTTGTTGTTGCGATTGATTATTATTATTATTATTGAATCGACGATTTGGTAATGGTGGTTTTGTTGTTGAAAAATGATATGATTGATATCGCTTTGTTGTTGTCCTTGTCGTTGTTGTTGTTGTTGTTGTTGGTAATTCGGTTGACGAATAATAAGAAGAAATTTTCGGCGGTGAATCAAAATAACCAGTCAAAACAATTGGTTCAACATTAACAGGTAATTGTGGTGATAATAAAGTTTTTGTTGTTGATTCTGTTATAGTTTGTTGTTGTTGTGATGGTTTAGGTCTTGTCGATTGTTGTCTATGACTATTCCATACGGTTATTCCGATATCCGGACTTTGATTCGAAGAAGATGAAAAACCGTCAATCAAACTACTGCCATCAATACCACCATATAATGTTTTATTCATTAATGGATGATTTTTAAATTGTTCCGGTTCTAAAATCCAATATTGATCATAATAATATGATGATGATGATGAATTTGTTGAACGTCGCCATAATCGATGATAATGATGACGACGATTATTCAAATCATTCGATGATGATGATGATGATCGAAAATTTTCCAATCGTCTTCGTATCAATGATGTTGGTGATTTACGAAATAATTTATTCATAAATGATGATACAAAATAGAATGGTAAATTTTGGCCATTTGCGTTTTGTGATTGATGCAAAATTTTTGCCGTTGTTGTTTCCGATTGCGATTGCGGTTGTTGTTGATGATTCGAATGAGCATTAGTATTGAAAATATTATTCGGTTGTTCTTCGATCAATTCGATAGTATCGTTCGATAAAGAATCGATTGTTTCATCACCATTGTTATTATCATTATTATCAGTCAATATTGTTTCAGCAAATTCTGATTGAAATTTTTGATATTCATATTCACAACCAGGTATAACTGATTGATACCATTTTGTACGTAAACGACGAAATGATTTTGTACGTATTAAACGTAATGTTTCATGCATTGCATCGGTTAATTGTCTTAAATCATCCGGATGTTCCAGATATTTTGGATCAATTAATGGTGAATCAAATATATTTGATGATTTTAAACGAATTGTTCCACGACTTTTTGGTTTCAATACAATTGGTAATATTGTAAATTGTAATTTACCTTGTGTTGTTTTTAATTTTTCACCATAATATTGTTGCCATGCAGAACGTTTTAAATTTAATTGTTGTTCACTTAATTCGGGTGATATTTCACGATTTGTTAAGCCATTTATCCATGTTAATAACATTGAATCAGGTGATGATGATTGTTGATGATAATGATTATGGTCATTATTATTAAATGATTTTGTCCGGCTACGAAATATTGTTGCTGCATATGATGATCGTGCTAATGGTCCTTTACCATAATAAAAATATTGTTTTAAATGTTGTTTAGTAATACCTGGTTCCGGTATACTATCAACAATAAAATACATTCCTAATGAACCAACATGATCATGAAGATTTTCACCAACACCAGGTAAATCAATTTTCAACGGTATTTGATGACGATTCAATTCCGTACGTGGTCCAATACCGGATAACATTAATAATTTTGGTGATTGTAATGTACCGGCACTAATGATAACTTCTTGCCGAGCAAATACACTATATTGTTGCCAATCACGTTGAAAACGTACACCAATTGCACGATCATTTTCAAATAAAATTTTTGTTACCATTGAATTAGCTAGGACATGAAGATTTATTCTTTGTTTTAGAATTGGTTCTAAAAATGCTGTCGATATTGATTGTCGTCGTCCTTGTTTGATTGTTGATTGTAGCAAGGATGAACCGTTTGAAATACCTTGATTTAGATCAATAATACGATAACCAGATTCGCGTGATGCATGAAGAAATGTTTGAAGAATTCGATCCACCGATGAATGATCATCGATTGATTGATCATTTGTCGAAGTTGATGATTTCGATGATGATGATGATAATGATTGCAAATAAACAGGACCATTTTGACCATATATACCTGATTTTAATCGATTCAAATCTTGTTGATTTTCATTACGTATCATATATGGTAATACATCTTTCCATGTCCAGGATTTTAGTCCTGTTTTTGATTTAACAAAAGCCAAAACAAACATTCATCATCAAAATCAAGGAATCAACAAAAAAAAACTTACCAAATTTTGTTTGCCAAATATCATAATCATTTGGATTACCACGTAGATAATACATACGATTAATTGATGATGTACCACCTAATAAACGACCTGATGCCAGATGACATTTTCGTTGATTCATTGCACCACATGAATAATTTTGTTCGGTTGTTAAAAATTTCCAATCCATTACTGTACCGATTAATGTTTCACTTAGGCCAGGAGTGTTTGATGTTACTGTTTCACTACCACCAGCTTCAATCAACAATACAGTTATATCTGGATCTTCACTTAAACGTGTTGCCAATACAATACCACTTGTACCACCACCAACAATTATATAATCATAATATGCATTCCAATTATTTCTTGCACTTAATTGATCATAAAAACTTTGTTTATTATAAATTATATTCGATATGGTCAAAAAACTAAATAATAAACTTGTTAGATTGGCAAAACCAAGTTTAGACATTGTTTTTTTTTGATCGGTTCAGTTTGTTTATCAAACAAACAAATTTAAAACATTCGTTAACTATTCGAATGACGACAAATGAATGAATGAATGAATCAAACACCTATTTTTTTATTTTGGGGTTTATCTTCTTCAACCACCAAAAATAACAAATCTTATCTGACAATATTATTATTAGAATTATCATAATAATAATGTTATTAAATTTTTGTTTGTTTGAAGAGTATTTGTTTGTTTGTTTGAATTTAACTTCCGGGTTTTCCTTCTTTATCATCCAAGTCAAGATGATGATGACCTTGGTGAAAACCTGTCATCATCATCATCATTGAACCATTCCATTGACATTGTGGTGGTTGGTTAGACACCTTGTATTATTATCCTTCTTTTCTAATTTGACTTTTGCCTATTTTTAGATGTTGTTAATATTTGTTTTTTATTGGAAAAATTCATTGAACCGTTAAGAAGATTACCACCAAAGAAAAAAAAGATCAAGATTTATGGCCAGGATTTTTTTTTCTTCCGAAGTTACGATTGGCGAATGTTTATGAATTAATTTTGCATGGGAATTTCAGTCAAATATTTTTTTTTAATTTTCTTAATTTTTTTGTAATGAATTTTTTTTCAAATTGTAGTTTGAATTCCCAACGATAGATGACAGCGCTCTGTCTATAAATTTTTTATAATTTTTTTTTGTTACAAACATTCCACGATTATCTTTATTTTTTGTTTTTGTTTGATAATTATTATGGCTAATTCTTTCAACAAGAATTTTTCAATTAGATTTTTGAATGATTCAAAAAATTATCCAATTTTAAATAGTTGTTCCGAGAAAAAAAAATTAATAATTTAAATAATTTCGATCGATAAAAATTTTTTTGTCTGACGAAAAAAAAATCATTGAAGTCCTGTAATAAATACCACCCACTAATAGTGGTATTGATTAATGATACGTAAATCTTTTGATCTAAATATAATTTAATGCTACTACTACAATTTTTTTTAATCATTTTCAGATATGTCCTCTATGGATGGAAATATGTACTTAAGTATGTGAATGTGCTGAAATGATAATCAATTTTTAACGCATGCGTAATGTTGAAAATCTAAAAACGCACGCCATGACGATTGCATGCTCGAAGCCAAAAAAAGAATGAGTAAAAAAAGTGAAAACTGCTGCTGCTGCTGTGTGTGTGTTGGCCATTCGTATCTGTTGTGTTCGTTTTTTTTTTCGTTGACTCAATACAAAAACGCGCTGAGCCATTGTCGATGGACGGTTCATTGTCAACCTAAAATCATTTGTTTAATATTGATTTCAATCAAAATTTTCTGATTGGTAAGTTAAAATATTTATAGAATTTGATGAAGATTTTTTTGAAATAAAAATTCCGATAAATCAATCTGATTTATCAAGATTTTTTATCGATTAAATTATCTAATGTAATTGTGTGTATGTATGGTGCCCGATACATTGAATATGTGTGTGTGTGTGGCGGCCGAAAAATACGAAAAAATAAATATTAAACATCCATCCATAAACAAAGTCGCGTCCTTAATGTCCAACAACAAAAAAAGTATCCTATATTCTTTGAATTTGTCATGTTTCAAACGAAACATTTTCAAAATTCAAAATAATCCTTGGATGTTTTTCGCGCGCCATTCGCAATTGATCAATTTTGCTAATCTTGAATATTTCATTTTCATTTTCAGTTGAATTCATTCCTTTTCTCTACGGAAACATAAAAATCTAAATGGATACTAATATTACTAAAGAAGAGAATAATAATACAGAAGAATTGGTTACAGATGTAAAAGGTAATTATTGATGTTATCATTTTTTTTCTTCAATATAATTTCATCAAATTCGAATGTTTAGATCAAAATTTTATGGCCGAAATGGTTGAAGTTCGTGTTAAAATGTACATGTGTCGTATATGTGGTATACGTTATGATAATATGGAATCAATGAAACAACATTATAATGAAGAGTATGATATTTTTACTTTGTTTTGGTTTCAGTTTTGTTTAATTGATTTGTTTTTCCCCTCCAAAAAGCCATCAAACATCAAGTGTTGAAGATGATCCAATGAATGAAAAAATTACATCGATTAAAGAAGAAATAATGGAAGATGATGAAGAAACAATTGATGATAGTGAAACAACACATACAAATTATGTTATTATTGGTGAAGATGGTCAACCAATCGATTTACCAATGGATAGTATACAAGTTTTACAAATTGGTGATGGTAGTGAAAATGGTGGACAAATAGTATTTCGTGTTATTGATCAAGATGATGAACATGTTAATGATGGTAATGGTAATGATGAAGGTGGTGATAATTTGGAAGAACAACAAGTTAATGAAATGGCTATTATTAGCGAAGAAACGGCTATTGTTCCAGTCGAAATGGCTTCAATTGGTGAAGTTATTGATCGCCGCCGTACAAGACAAAATGATGATGATAATAATCATCAATTAGATGATCATGATGATCAATCATCAACAACAATACCAATAACACCATCTAAACGTGGTCGTAAACGTAAAAATCAATTAGAATCACCATCAAATACCTCATCGACAACAACATTAGCAACAACAAGATCTAAACGTATGGTTGTACCAAACATTAAATCAGAATTTGTTTATGAAGGTTTATCACAATCAATTGAAACACCAATACAAACATCAAAACAATCTAGACAATCAGATCAATCATATACATTTATACGTGAAGGTGGTGTTATAACTGCATTTCAAGTTTCAAATGAATTAGAAACATCAACAATAACAAAAACTAATGATGATGATGATAATGATAATGGTACAGAAGAAGCGACAACGACAAATGATGATAATGGTGGTGGTGGTGGTGTTTCTTGTTCTACAAGAAAACCACATCGTCGTAATATTATCGATAATGATGATGATGATGAAGATTATCCAGCTGATTATACACCAACATCTAAAGTTAAAAAAGGTCGTCAAGTTGAACCAAAAGAAGAGGATAGCCATTTAAGAAGATTTCCATGTCCATTTCAAGGTTGTAAATATATTGCAAAATATCGTTCAAATTTATGGGATCATAAAAAAACACATACCGGAGAAAAACCATATGCTTGTAATTGGCCATCATGTTCAATGCGTTTTTCACAAACACATCAATTAAAATTACATTTACGTTCGCATACAGGTGAACGTCCATATGTTTGCGATTGGCCTGGTTGTAATTCTGCATTCAGGTAAAATTATTATCAATTTTTCTTGAATTAATTAATTAATTATTTTTCGCACAAAAATATTAGCCAAAAACCGGGATTAAAATCACACATGTTAACACATACGGGTGAAAAACCCTTCAAATGTGATTTTCCTGGATGTGGTTGGACATTCCGTTTGAAAGGTGCATTAACCGATCATAAACGAGCAATACATGAAAATGCTAAAAAACATGTTTGTGAATGGCCTGGTTGTAATAAACGTTTTCTTCAACAATGTCATCTAAAAAAACATATTATGGGACATGCCGATATTAAACCATTCGCTTGTGATTGGCCTAGTTGTAATTATAAAGCTGTTACAATGGCATATGTTACAAATCATCGTAAAACACATACCGGAGAAAAGAATTATGAATGTACATATCCTAATTGTAATAAAAGATTTGTTAAATCAAGTCATGTTAATCGTCATCGACAACGTTGTCATCCAGAATTATTCATTATCGATATGGAACAAGGTGAATTTATTGATGATGATGATGATGATGGTGATGATTATGTTGAAGATGAAGATAATAATGATGCAAATGTTGATACTGCTAAACAAATGGCTAATCAAAATGGCGATAATAATACTACGGGTACAGAAGAAGAAGAATCGGCCACAACAACAACTATTTTCATTCAACAACAAGATAATGATGGTAATGATAATGACCCGAAAACAACAACAACAACAAATGAAAATATTCAAATTATTAATGGTGATAATGTTGAAAATTCACATTTTATTCTAACTACAACAGAAGATTCTGATGTTGACCAACAACAACAACAACAACAATTAATAATGGAAATGAAAAAAGAACATTTAGATAATAATGATGAACAGATTCAAATGGAAAAACAAAAACAAACTGAACAACAACAACCAAAAGAATCTTCAGCCAAGGAAACGGTAACAATAAATCCGAAAAATTCGGTTAGTTGATTGATTGATCTTTAACCCTTTTTGCCTATTTTTTTTCCTGTTGATATAAATTTAATAATTCAAAATTGTGATTGATTTTTTTTTCTTGTACTTTTTTTCTTGCTTTTTTTCCAAACAAACAAAAAAATAAATTTTCCAATTGAATAAATTCATAAAATTATAGCCGGCAACAAAAACAAAAACATCGACGGCAGCAGCAACAGCAGCTACACCTACCCGAATGACAACCAGAAGTCGAGGTTCGGCTAAAACAACAACATCGTGAAGCGGAAATAGTTTTTTGCTACTGATGATTTGAATGTGAGCCATGAGAGTGAGATTGAGTGAAAACAAAACAACAACAAAAAATTTATTAAAATTCGATCGATATATCGATTGTTATCGTTTATTGTTTATTGGTTTGTATTTTTTTTAAATTCCCCCAACGCTATCAGTTATTTTGATATTTTTTGTTCACCCGGATTTCCCTTTAAATATTGTATTCATTCATTCAGAAGAAGAAGAAAAAACATTCAATTCTTATTCAACAATCAACTCTAACATTAACTACTAAACAGACATCACTTGATTAAAAGCATCCTCTAATTACATCATTAAGCAAATATTATGTAAACGATCATCACCATCAGAATATATTTTACCTCATTCATTTCAATCATTCATCATTTTTTTGTTCAATTTTTTTTCTCTTTGATTGTTTTTGCATCATCATTCAAATCAAAAATATTAACTAAAACAAATGAATATTTCATTTTTGAATAAAAATTTTATTTTCAAACAAATCAAAAAAAAAATTCACATGGTTTTGCTAAAACCATGTTTTCAAGACATATGTGTGTGTCTTTATAAATCCGTCCTCATCCAGGGGAGTGCTAACCTTCTCTCCTTTTCACAACACACAACCGAATATCGGTTGTTCAATTTGTTATTTATAGTAAACCATTTGGATAGGAAGTTTTCATTACAGTTTTTTAAAAGCAAATCGTTTTTCGAAATTGATGATACAGACCATAAATGGCTTAAAAAACATTTTCTATATACAAAATCCAATCCAATTATGGATAAATTATTCCACTGTTTTCAAATTTTTATTCTTCAATCAACTGGCGATGATAGATAAAAATCTTTGATGAATCATATTGATCAATCATTGGATAGTTAGACTTGAAAATCGATTGTTTCTGGTCATCATCATCATCATCATGATCATTCGATTATTACCATGTTTTTCATTGATAATTCTTTCAATTATTAATCATCAATCATTGGCTTTTAATTATAAATATTTTTATGATCTACATAATCCAGTCTATCAGAATGGTCAAGGTCAATATTATTCATTTTGTTCATTTAATTGGAATCAAACTTGTGGTTATCGTTCACAACCAAATACAATACCATTTCAAATAATCGATGAATTTGAACAATTATCATCATTAGGTATGATGATATTGGATATATCGAAAATTGATCGTCATAGTGATAATGATCATGATCAACCAATCGGTGCAAGAATATCTGGACGTTATTATCCGGCATATAATTTTACAAAAGGTTGTTTAATGATAAAATCATTAACATATGGACCGGCTATTTCACATTGGTTCTTAAGACAACGTGATCGTAATGATCGTACAATTTATCATTATACAAATAAATGGCAATCAAAAATGGCTTTAACAAATATTGATGAATATTGGCAATTTTTATCATTACCAATTGATCTTAGTAATGGTGCTGTACAATTTTTCATAGATGTTCGTATTAATCAACAAATACCGCCAACATCAATCGGTTTAATGGCTATTGATTTTATTGCATTTCTTTATGAAGATTGTTGTTTTATGCAATCACAATTATTATCATAATTTGGATGTTTGTTGATAATTTGGTTTTTTCATTCGAATAAAATTCGATTCGATATATCGATTGTTTTTTCTTATTCGCGAAATGAGCATGCGCTTCTTTTTAGAATTTTTTTTTGTTCAAATCAAGTTATCAAATCGTTCAAAGTTCATTGTTTTTTGTTCTTATTAATATTTTTTCATCGAGCAACCATCCTGATTCGAAGATTCGATTAAAAGAACATTTGTATTTTTTCCCTGCTTGTTGTTTTAGTGTTTTCGAGAATTGACAAAATGAAATCACAAATAAAAATTGGAATTATTGGCGGTACCGGTTTGGATCAAGATTCATCCATCTTAACCGATAAAAAGATGATAAAAGTACCGGAAACTCCTTATGGACAACCATCAGATTCGGAATTAATATCGGGAAAAATTGATGATATTGATGTTTATATACTTGGTCGTCATGGTCGTCAACATGATATTAGCCCAACAAATGTTAATTATCGTGCAAATCTTTGCACATTAAAACAGTTAGGATGTACTCATATTTTAACAACATCAGCTTGTGGTTCATTGAAACAATCAATCGCTCCGGGTCATCTTGGAATTATGGATCAATATATTGATCGTACAAATGTTCGTGGTGGTCGATCATTTTATAAAGTAGCACATATTCCACAACCACGTCCATATGATCCAAAATTACAGGAAATTTTTTATCAAAGTGCTTGCGAAGCTGGTTATAAATGTCATCCATCATTAACAGCGGTTTGTATTGAAGGACCAAGATTTTCAACATTAGCCGAATCACGTTTATATCAATCGTGGGGTGCTGATTTAGTTGGTATGACAATGGTACCTGAAGTACAATTAGCCAATGAATTAGGTTTGATTTATGCAACAATTGCATTGGTAACTGATTATGATTGTTGGCATCCAGAAGAATTTGCCGTATCGGTTGATGTTGTCAACAAAACACTAGCAGAAGTTTCAAAAAAAGCAAAAGATGTTTTAGTTCGTTCAATCAAAAAAATCAAACAAATTGATTGGACAAAAACTATTGAACATAAAGCAATGATTGCACGTAATGCAATTATGGCTAAATAATTTGAATTTTTCCAGAAAAGTTTCTTTTCTTTTTTTACTTCGCGAAAATTAAATAAATAAAAAAATTAGAAAATTGCCAAACTTGTTGATTGATTGATTAATTAAAACATGAACGGTATCAATGCTTTGATGGTTTTTGGATAACGATCACCAAAACGTTTTCTATACCATCGATTTGATATTTGTGCAGCAATTGTTTGATTAACAATAACAAACATTAACATTGTTGACCATAAATTACTGCGATTTGAAAGTAACCACAGACAAACATAGATAATAATTTCGGATAAATAATGTGGACAAGAAATATAATCAAATAGGCCACCTTGTGGAATGAAATAATCATTTTTAGTGTTTGATTTGTTATTACGAAGATTGGCCAAAATCTGATGCGATTGATATTGAACAATTGAACTGGCAATAAAAATGATTACAATCATCATTGATGATGATAAATCTGTGGAATTATGACGTTCAAAATCATCATCATTATTGTAGGTAGCCAAACCGATTGTCAAATAGAATAATATCCCGACAAAATAATGAACAAAATTTATAGTATTTTCGGAAAATTTCGAAACATAGAATGTTTCATATAATCTTCGAAGACTTTGCAACCATTGTAAACCAATAAGGAATTTCAATTCAAATTTTGTCAGATAAAACATTCGAATTAGTAATATGGAATTCAAACAAAATGATAGGATATAAAAATGACGAAACCAATATTTCGGTACTTCTAACATTCGAACGATTGTATCGATTATCGATAGTAAACGTTGATAATATGATTTCGGTGACCATCGTTTTTCATTCGATTGTTTTAATTTTAATGATTTAAATTTTCCATAAAAAATTAATGATCGTATAAATTCGGGAATTTTTTCCAAATCACAAAGTGTTATCGTACCGGTGATGATAATTCCAATCGATAATAGATTCCAGAATAATATTAATCCGGTAATCATGGTGATCATCATCATCGTGGTCAGGATCGATGAAAAATGATGAAATCAACAAAATCAAATGAAAAACAATCAAGAATGATGCCATCTAGTAGTGCAAAAATTGCTCACATTAATGAGAAAAACTACAAAATTTTATTCATTTCGGAACCAAAAGTTTTTGAAACAAAGTTTAAACAAATTAATAAAGAAAAAAAGATCATTATGTTATTTTTACAATCGATGAACCATCATTCAATATGGATGCAGCAAAACGTAAACCAGCCACAATGAAACCAAAATAGAAAATATTATGCATCAATTTTTTCTTCGATTCATTTCGTATTTGTTCGGCTGTTGGAAGTGAATCACCACCCGGTGATGATTGACTTTCGTTTTTTGTTGCCAATTGAAATACCATGATTTTATTTTCTTATTGATATCTTTCCGAAATTCTTGATTTTCAAATCAATTCAACTTTTGATGAGCGAGAAAAGGAGAGAAAAAGAAAATCAACATTGAATGTTTGTTTGCATCATTTTTACAAGCATGATGTTCGAATGTTCTATTCATAAATGACAGGATCGACAATTTTTCAGGGGGTTATTTCATCATCAAATCAAATGGATAATTTTCGAAAACGATGGCTGAAAATTTAGATTTATTAAGTGATGATGATGTTAATATGATCGACATTGAACAACAATTTGAATCGAAATCAACGACAACAAACGAATCAAAACAATCGAATAATAAAGATTTGGATTTATTTCATTCGATACCATCATCACCATCCCAATCATCAACATCATCATCCGCAACAACAACAAAACATCGAAAGAAAAAGAGATCCAACGATATTGATGATGACGATGAAGATGGTGAAGACAATGATGATGATGAAGATGATAACAATGATGGAGAAAATAATCGAAAACGATATGAACCAAAATGGTGTTCAAGTGATATTTTAGTACATATTTTAAATCGTAAAGAATTATTACTGCAATTACAATGTAATCTATTTTGTGGTCATAAATGGTCATCATTTATACAATTATCCGATGCATTAATTACTGATCGTCGTTTGCCATGTAATTTAATAATGCGTAATTTTCTATTTATTTTATTCAAATCCAAACCAAATCTGCTTGATAATTCGGAACGATTTGATAGTGCATATAAATTCGTATGGAATTTATTATTTCTGATGATTGATCGTTATGAAACAATGATTGAATTGATAAATTATTTCATTTGGGTTGGTTATTATCATCAACAACCATCATTGTTGGCTAAAGGTAAATCAATGATATTGGATTTAAATCAAGAAATTGAACGTCGTTATAGACGTGGCCAAAAAAAACAACAATTTTCTAAATCATTTCATATGTTGGAAATTGTATTTCGGATTTATATGGAATATTTTGATCTGATTGATTGGAAATTGAATGGACAAACAACATCATCAGCTATACGTTTAGATAAATTAAAAACAAATTTTAATGATTTAATTGAACATTTTGCGGTGGAACCATTACCTGAATTAAATCTGGATATTGTACCATTAATAATGTTGGAATTATTTTTTATTGAAGAAAATCGCCAAAACGGAAATAATCATTATCATGATGAAGCATTGGAAATGTTAACAAAATATTCAAAAACATTTCCCGATAATCTTAATGGCCATGTTTATTTATATGAATTTTTAAAAAGATTTAAAAAACATTTTAATCATTCGCTTGACGATAATTCACGATCAATACAAATTGAATGTCTTCGAAATATTGAAAGATTATGTCCTGATTCAAAATATGTTTTACGTTTAGCACAACAGATTGTTGATGATGAACCAATCGAATGTTTAGAAATGATAACAAATTTTCTTGATTATCATTCCAATTCAAATTCATTAAAAGCATGGAAAATTTTACATCGAATATTGATACATATTTTCAATAGAAAATCAACAATAACAACCACCGATATAGATGATGATATTCTATTACAGATACGAAAATTTTTATTTATAAAATTAAAATATTGGCAGCATATTCATTTTCGTCTGGATCAACTTAATAGTTTTCTTTCGGAATGGCAACGAAATAATTTGATTGGTACAGAACAATTGGAATCAACAAATAATGATGATGATATTCGTTCAGTTGCTTCAACAACATTTCGTTCAATTATTTCGACAACATCAACATTTCAATCTGCTGATTCGTCTACGATTCAATCATCATCATCTTCATTGATAAATAAACGTGATCTTTATAAATATAAAGGAAAAATTATTGCCGAAATTCATCGTAAATTTCCCGATTTAATTAATTGTGATTATACACATTTGATTTATTTAAAAATTAAAACACAAAATCTTTGAAATAAAAAAAAACAAAAATAAAAATTTTTTAAATTCATAACATTCGAATATTCTTTTGTTAATATGCGCATGTGTCATTCGAATCTTAAAAAAAATATATATCGAGATTATAATCGAGGAACTACCACTATCTATTATCCATTAGCTCAAAGAGGAGGATAAAATCTTCCGTGTGTGTGTATCATGTGAATGATAGCAGCATTTGGATATGAATGAATTTTATTCCATTATCCCTCCCTCCCTTTCTCAACAACAACAACAACAAAAAATCCTGATTCTGAATACCACTACCTTGTTACATATGATGATGGATTCTTTGATAATGATGTTGTAGCAGTCCATTGAGCAATTCCACTGCCAATTTCTGTTTGTGTGTGTGTATTATGTATTCGAATGTTTGTTGATTGTGTGGTGTGTGTTGAATCAAAAAAGAAAATCCCCGATTCTATATGTGGTGTCCATCCATCAATCAATCAATCAAATGATGATAATGATAATCATTTCCGTGGTTTGACTGTATTCTGATTGTATTCGGGGAGCAACAATAATAATAATCTGATAATAATTTTTTTCTTTTATTCATCCGATCATCTTTGCTGGATGTTCGATGATGATAATTTGGATTTGACATTAAAAAAAATTGATTTACCAAATGTTTTTTCCACGCATGTAAGTTTCAAGAACCATGATTTTCATTGAATAATCAAATTTAATAAATAAATGTTTTTGCCAGATGAATTTTATATTGAAATTTTTTTCTCTTTTGGATTCGGAAATTGAATTAATTGAATCGATTGAAAAATGTTATTCTAAAATTATCGATTTCAATTTTTTTTCTTCATTTGATTCCGGTCCAATGAATCATGGACATTGACCATCAACAACATTTAAATAGTAATCATTTTCCTAATCAATTAAATTCATCATCATCATCATCATCATCTTCATTATCATCTGGAAGTGCCGTACAACAAAACATAACAAATCATAATCAAATTAATGATAATAATAGTAACAAAAAAGACGAACAATCATTAACAACAACAAAACAACATCAACAATCATCATCATCAAATCAACGGAATTCAAAACAATCATCGACAGCAACGGAAAAAGAAATGGTTGGCGGTTGTGTTGTTTGTGGCCAAGATGAAGGATATTTAGATAATGTAATTATCTATTGTGATGGTGATGGCTGTGAAATTGGTGTACATGAAGCATGTTATGGTATAACAACAATACCAAAAGGTGAATGGTATTGTACACCATGTTCAGTAAATAAACGACCGGAAAAATGTGAATTATGTCCAGCCAAATATGGTGCATTTAAACCAACTGCAAATGGACGTTGGTGTCATGTTGTTTGTGCATTATATATACCGGAAGTTGAATTTGAAAATATTAATACAATGGAACCGATTGTTTTGGATCGTATTGATCCACGTCGTGTTGGTTGTGTTTGTATTCTATGTGAAATGAGCGGTAAAGATAAGGATACATCACGTAGTGGTTGTTGTATGTCATGTCATTATCCAAATTGTCCGAATAAATTTCATGTTACCTGTGCTCAATATCAAGGATATTTATGTGAAGAAGCATCAGCAACAAGATTAAAATATAAAGCCTATTGTCCACAACATATTGAAAAGTTACGAAATCCACGACGTACAAAAATCAAAATCTTACCGGCATATCGTCCGGAAGATCCAAATCGTAAACAATCAAATTGTTTTCTTTTACTTAATGATGATAATGATGATGGTCTAATATCATCGAATAGACCGACATTAAATTTACCATCACCAACACCAATATCATCACCATCAGTGATATCAACACAGCAACAACGAACTAGCCTAAATTCATCATCCGGTTCATCGGATGGAAAAAATTCTTTGAAAATTTCGAAAGAAATAGCCAATAATAATCGATCGCAACAACAAAGAAAAAATTCTGCCTGTTCATCCAATAATAATAATAATAATAAGCCATCATCAAAAACATCGACAATGATCTCATCGACAAGCCAATCAATGAAAAAACCTTCATTCAATTCCACTTATTCAACGACCAATGTAAATTTTACTAATAATACTTCCGATTTATCGAAACAATCATCATCGTTTACAAAATCAATATTAACATCACCTGTATGTCCAAATGAATCATTACAAATACCAAGAAAACGTACATTATCAGCATCATCATCATCGTCATCTGCTTCATCTTCTTCATCTGGATCATCATCTAGTGGTTCTTCAAGTTCCGGTTCATCAAATGATTCATCCGATGATGATGATAATGAATCATCACCAGTAGTAAATGCTGTAAACATTTCGAATAAAAAACGATCAACATCATCATCAGGAGCAACGAACATACCTGACCGTTCGGCGACGATCGCATTGCAATCAACATCAGCTATTATCCCAACTAGTGGAAATAAACGTAAACAACCACAATCATCATCTTCATCGAAAAGACGATCTCCATTATCAACGACATCAGAAGATGATGATAATTCTGATGGTACTGATGATAGTAGTTCTGATGATGGTGATTCTGATTCCGATTCCGATGATTCAAGTAGTTCATCTTCATCGACTACAGCCACTAATACACCACCAAAAAAACAGCCAATATCTAATTCGACTATTATTCCATCTTCAGCAGCTAACGGTAATATGACAACATCGTTATCAACTACGGCAATTATGCCATCACAATCAGCAGCCAATAATATTGCTGCTGTTCCCCAAACTGTTTCGATCAATCGTCATAAACCAAATGCATCAATTTTACAATCATCAAAATTAGTATTATCCGATGAAGGATCATCATCATCAGCATCCGGATCATCTTCATCTGGTTCATCATCCGATTCTGATCGATCACATTCATCAAGTGAAGATAATGATAATAAATTAATGAAACGAAAGAAAAAATCATCGAAAAAAATTGTTAAAAATTCTTCAAAAATAGTGACAACAAATAAAAAAATGAAAGTAGATTCAACCAAACAATCTGCCAATAAATCAAATACAGGAAAAATTCGAATCAATAATAAATCCGAATCAAAACAGCCAATTAGCCAACAATTACAGCCATTAAAGAATGAATTATCTACAACGACGACTTCATCGACAAATCGTACAATAACAAAAGCACCTGGTGTTATTAGTCAAACCATTTCGATTGTTGAAAAAAGTGGTTCGATGAATACGGCAACGACAATTCCCAATTCTACAGTTAATTTGACAAAACGTTCACAATCATCTAAATTAATACTCAGCGATACCGGTGATAGCGATGATGATAACCGTATCAATACCGATGATGATCATGATGAAGATTTTCGAGTTAGAAAATCAAAAAAATCTGGTCGTTCTAATACAACAACAACAAGCATGAAACGTCGTAATAGTTCAAATGTTAATAATTCCAATTCAAACATAACGCCAATTTCAAATAATACTTCCGTTTTGACAAATGTTGACAAAATTTCACAAAAATCATCATCAATCACATCGAATCGTTCATCGAAACAGAAAAACAATATCGATACTGTTGTGAGTGTTAAAAATTCCCAAACACGTAGCCATAGCCAAAAAAGTAAGATTAATCATCATCCGTCAACATTGACAAAACAACAATCAGCCAAATCGAAATCAAATGAAAAATCGACAATGTTAACCGCAAATAGAAAATCTGTCAGGTAAAATTATAAGAATTTTCCGATTTTGAATTTCATTCATAACCGATTTTTTTTCCTTTCGTTAATATTTAGATCTCAATCACAAAACACTAATCAATCGATTGTCAAATTGAAATCTCCTACTGCTACAATAAAATCACCAATATCTAATCATCAAAAGAAAACGTTAACGACTCCCACCATGATTGGTGATGATATACAGGCTAAAATTGTGGCCAAAACGATGCATAACATAACATCACCATCATCACAAGTGACCATTCCAATTGTTGAATGGTAATTTGGTTAAATTATTTTTATTTGTTTCAATTTGATCTGATGTATTTGATCTATTTTTTTTTTTTTTTTTTTTAAATAGTTGTCATCATCAACCGTTGCCAAATGTTTTTATACCTCATCATCCACTTCATACACAANCATCACCATCATCACAAGTGACCATTCCAATTGTTGAATGGTAATTTGGTTAAATTATTTTTTTTTGTTTCAATTTGATCTGATGTATTTGATCTATTTTTTTTTTTTTTTTTGTAAATAGTTGTCATCATCAACCGTTGCCAAATGTTTGTATACCTCATCATCCACTTCATACACAATTAACATCACCAAATCTTCATGCAAATATTAATGGCAGTAATTATTGTACGGCTTTATCGATAAATACTGGAGTGGATAGTAACGCAGTAGATCATTCATTAGATCTAGTCGCCAATAATAAAACAATTTTACATCATTCCAATGATAATAAATTATTAACAACATGGTATGTTTAGCGAAACTTTTCCTCTAAATTTGAATTTATTTAATGATTTTTTTCTGTTGTTTATGATAGTACATCATCATCTATGGCTAATCTACCAACACCAACTATTCCTCAATCATCAAAATCGATAGCCATTGCAAGATCACAAATTCCATTTAGCCCCACTATGATTCCATGTTATGGACCAAATATTCAACCAACAGTTTTACAACATTCACCATCCATTGATTTACCACCAACACCGAAGACATTGGAAGAATTATTAGAATTTCAATGGATACATTCATCACATTTTTTGATGACACAAGAAGAAAATAAAGAACCGTCCATTATGTTACAAAAACTTCATGGTCTTATGACCGAAAAGAATAAATTGCAAAAAGAAATGAAATCATTACAACGTAAAGTAGATTACTATGATTCAACATTAAAATTGGTTAAAGATATGGTACTAATGTCAGCTCAAAATAATGATGATAATAAAGATGGTGGTGGTAGTAATAATGGTGATGATGATGATTCAAACCAATTTGATCCGGCTATGATGATGATGATGATGAGATCATTAATGATGTCTAAACGATCAACAACATCATCATCAACGGGAGCAGTTAATGGTGGTGAAAATACGGCTATCGTTGATAATAACAATAATAGCAACAACAACAACAGTAATGATAATTTAATAAAAACAACCCCAACATTATCATCTTCGCCACAGATTAATAACACTGCCAATACAATCATAAAATCTGGTTCATCAACACCTGTATCACAACAGAATTGTTCGGTATCAACTCCAACAGCATCAACAATTTCTACACCTACTAATACATCATTGAATAATATTTTGGCTGCTACAACAACAACTACCGGCTCAACTAGACAATTGAGAACCAATAATAATAACAACAACAATAATATGGAAACTAATTGTTTGGATAATAATGTTCGTCAAACTAGACGAAGTTCAAACAATTCTCTGCAACAACAACAACAACAGGCAATGACATTGGGTCCATCATCAAATCCAACAACAATGACCACGTTATCTGAATCACCAACATCAGGATCAAAGCAGCTATTAAACAATTCTTCATTAACTAACTCGACATCATTATTAACGAACACAAATTCATCATCATCATCAACCATTCCGGATAGTTATGCTCATTATCTAAGTAAACATCTAAATAATCTATCATCATCGAATATAACTCCTAATAATCTACCACCTACTACTGGTTTCTCATCATCATCATCATCTTCGTCGTCTTCTTCGTCATCATCCGGATATTCAAGTTCATTATCGAATAATAATGGAACGATTGGCCCCTCTTCATTGCCACCACCTCCTCTTCCTCCTCCACTACCATCATCACAATTTCTTTCGGTCTCACAATCGGCTAATTTTGATTCAAAACTTATTGGTCATCATAATAATTTACATGGTAATTTAATCGATCCAAAAAATCATTCATCACACCTTCATCAACAACAACAACCATTGTCACATAATCTTCATCATCAACATCATCATCCGCAAACAACACCATTCATTAATCAACAATCATTTTTGGCTACAGCAAATGGTGTTCAATCATATAATACTAATCAATCAACAACGCCATCATCTACAAATACAAATAATAATAGTAGCAATAATAATAATAATTATCGATCTTCAACACGACCATTACGATCATCATCAAATATTTCGGCCATACAGAATGGACAAATGAATGTACATCAGCCATACAATAATAATAATAATAATCATTCACTTCATCATAATCATCATTCAATACATCATACCGCACAACAACAACAACAGCAATTTCATCAATTTCAACAACATTATTATAATAAAAATTAGGGTCATATGGTTCAATTCTTCTTTATATGGTCATTTCTTTTTTATTTATTTATTCCGTTGAATTCTTTTGTTTTTATTATTATTTTTCAAAACTTCTTTTCCTTTTTTTCACTCAATTTTGATTTGATCATGATTTTTATCTAGCCTTAATTCATTTATCGATTATATGGGATGTATGAATTCTGTAATTATAATTTTTTTTCCACACAGACAATATTTATATTTACGACATACAACAACCGACCATGCAACAATCGACCATTTCCTTGTATTTCTTTTTATTTCAATTTCTTTCATAACTTTCTTGTCAATTTTTGTGTAAAATTTTTTTTTCTTCCTGTTTTTTTATGAACAACAATACAATACTTTGATATATATTCTTCACACATACACATTTATTGAAGCAAAAATTTTATTATTTTATTTTTCATTTTTGGACAATAAAAAAAACGGACAATTAATTTTATTGACCAAAAAAAACAAAACAAAAAAATCGTATGATTATTCTCACAAATTAGATGGCGCCACGAGTTTTGTTTTTTTTTCAAAAAAAATAAAATTACAAGTTAATGGTGTTGTGTGTGTGTGTGTCGATATCGAATATTGATTAACATAAAATAACCATTACCAATTAACATTTATCATTGTCATTTACAAATAGTTAATTTAATTTATATCTTTAGTTCATTATATATTTCGATCTATTTTGAATATATATTGGATTCGATTAATTTACTTTGAATCAATTCAAATTAATTTACCGAGTTAGATAATAACGAAAAAAAAGAAGAAGAAGAACAAAAACAAACTTTCATTACAATTATTCACCCAATACCTATATCATCATTAATCTAATATTTAAACATGTTTATTTATTTATTAATGGCCGATTTTTTTTATATCATTCATTTAATTCAAATATTGACTTGGTTGGTTTCGATCAATCGATTGTAAAGTAGAAAAAAATAAACATTTTTTTGTTTGCAAATAATAAAAAAAAAATCCGTATACCAAATCGACCGATATATTTATATAAGATTTTATTGATTAAAATATCGATCTAATAATCAAATCAATCGATTAATCGATCGGAACGATTCTCAAATCAGACAGACATTGGCTGGCTGTCAAATGCACAAATTCTTAGTTGATAAAAGTCAACTAAACAGTAACAAAAATTTATTATTATGGTTTGTTTTTGATAATCAAAAAAAAACTAAACCATAATAAATATAGATCAAAATTGATTGAAATGGAGAATTCTTTGTTTTTCTTTCTTTCTCTCAATCCGATTTCAAATTACAAATGTTTCTGGGGAAAAAATCAGACGATACATTCAAAATGTTCTGTTTTTGACAAGTTTTTCTTTCGTTTGACCAAAACGATGATTATTAATTTTTTTTCTGGAGGGGAAGGGGAAACAACAAAACACATCACAACTGTTATTAATGAAATAACAAAAAACGAAAGCTGAACAACCACCAAAAATAACCATTATTACTACTGAACATTTTCACAGGTATTTCAGGAAGATTCCATCTTTTTTTTGGCAAAAAAAGCATCAAACATCCCAAAAAATGTTTCAAGTGTTTCACCACCTTTTCTCAAAAAGAAATTGATAGGGAAAAAAATATATTTTCAACTCTAGTTTCAATTGGATTCTTGACATTTTTTTCACAGATGATGATTCCATTTTTCTAATATCGTAATGTTTTTTTTTCGGGTTCAAATGTGCTAAAAAAAGAACTGCTTGTGTGTGCGTAAGTGTTGAAATTGTGTTTCAGATGCTTCAGATGACGGAAATGAATTTTTCTTTCTGACAGATTCAGGAAGGCAAAAGGTTTTTTTTCATATTTTTGCAATCAGAAAGACAAACAAAATGAAAATTCTATCAAACAAAACTATCCGATCACATTTCTCAATAATCAATATTCATTAGGTAAAAAGAAGAATATTCTTTTTGTTTTTTTTTCGAAAGAAAAAGAAGATTATTTTCAATTATTTAATAATAATAATAAGAATTTTCAATTGAAAATTGATTCTAATTGGAAATTGCGATACAGCAGGTGATCTAAGGTACAGTTGATCTTTTTTTCACCTTAATATCCATTATTGATAATGTTTTGGTTATTTTTTTTCAATCAGAAAAAAAAACAACAGCGCAAACACACGGGAACATGGCAGAAAATTCTGCGAAAAAAATTCCAATCCAAAGATTAATTTGGTTGTCAAACGAAAGAGAGAAAGAAAGGCAAAAGGAAAACTGAAAAAAACTTGCAACTTCATCATCATCATCAGCAGCATCATTATTTAAAAATTTTTTGAAAAAAAATGAACAGAAAATATTTTTTTTGGAAACAAACAAACAGAAAAACGAAAACTTTTTTCACCTAAATCAATGGAAAAAAAAGAAAACGACGAAGACGACAGGTGAATTCCAGCGCCGTTCCAGTGCCAAAACAAAACAAAACAAAACAAGTTAAACATCTTATCATCATCAACAATGGAACAAAATACTGTTACAACCAAAAAAAAAGTTTTACTTACTTACTTACTTTGGAAGAAACGAAAAACTATTAAAGAAACGAAAAAATATGTAAAAAAAAAGAAAAGAAAAGAAAAATGAAAAATATAATAAAGAAACAAACGAACTGAGAAAGTAAAAGCAAAAGCAAAAAAAAATTATAAATAATGATTCAAACATTCATTGTAGCGTGAAACGCGAAACAAAGCCAAAATAAAAAAAAACATATAGCTACTGCTGCTGCTGCCGCTGGTGTTATATGTATCGAAGAATTTTTTGTTGTTGTTGTTTTTTCGGGTACCGAATTTTCTATTTGTTGTTGTTTTACTTGGTCTTGGTCTTGGTTACCCCGTCATCATCGTTATTTGGTTTGGATTCCTGGCCTATATTTTTTGGTTATGAACAAGAAGCAAGTCAGGAAAAAAAGTAGAAGAAAATTACTTTGATAATGTTTTATTGATAACCTACCAAAATGTATGGTAAAGGAGACAAACACCATTCACTACTATACATAACAAATTCAAATTGAATAGATTTTTTTTCTGGCCTAAAGCAATGAATTTAGGAGAACGTAATGTGTTTTTTTTGTTTGTTTGTTTGCTTGCATTCTATTCTATTCAATGGAATAACGTCAATTTTTTTTTCTTTGAAGAAGAAGTAGAAATAGTAGAAATTCTGAATAAACTGATTTGAAAATCAGATGATGTGAGAGGAAGGGGGAAATCAATCAATGATTTTTTTTTTGAGGAGGAGGGGTGAGAACCAAGGAATATAAACAAACAAATCATAATCATGATGGAAATTTTTTTCTCTTTGGAAAAAAAAATTTCACTGATGATTTATTCTGTGTAATTCTTTCGTTTCCAAAGAATTAACTTAATGATGTACAACAACAACAACAACACTAATTAGTTTTGGAAAATTGTTTTTCTGTAAATGATGCGATGTTGGTTTTCTTAATGATGATCATGATAATTACAAAGAGAGAGAGAGAGAGAGAGAAGAAGCCATTTATTATAATTATTATCAGCATTTTTTTCTTTTTTCGTTGTTGTTGTTTTATTATTCAAACATTGACTATTTTCATCCTGTTCGAAACTGATAATGTCGATATCGTCGTGTATTATCTTGCAAAATAAAATGGAATTTTTTTTTTTGTTTGAAAAAAAGTTATTCCTTGTGTCTTATATATGATTTACGATTTTTGTTGTTGTTGTTGTTTTCCATTGAATTATCATCTGGAATTCTGATACTGAGAATCTTCAATCAATCAAATAAAAAAATATACGGGAGTGGAAAGACAAAAAAAAACTATCAAATTCCATTTGGAAAAAGAAAATCATCCTTAAACAACCAAAACAGCAAAACAAACAAAGTTAATTCTTCATCATTATCATCATTACCACCACCACCATTATTGGCAAAACAGAAGCAATTTGTAGAGTGAGAAAAAAAACCGAAAATAAATAAATAAATATTGTTCATTTTCAGTTTCTCATTTATAGTTGTGTTTGTTCATCATTACTTTTATCCAACCCAAACAAATGGAAAAAAAACGAAAAACGAAAAACAAAACCAATCCAAACATTACTTGCTCTTCACGTTTACAAAAAATAATTATTATTCTTATCATTATAATCATATATGTTCTCTGTCTATGTGTCTCTGCATTGAACATGATACATCTGGATCATTTTTTTTTTCTTTGGTTCAGTTTTTATGAAGCAAAAACAGCAAATGAAAATATAGAATGAGTGTAAATGTCACCAGCCTTTATTTTTGGTTGTTGATCGAATCCTAATCGTTTTGCTTGTTTGTTTGTTTGCCTAAATATAAAGAGAGATTTTCTCTTCAGAAAAAAAAATAATACACCGATCTTTTAGCCTCGAAAATCCGAATGGTTGAAGAATTTACAAAAGTTTTTTTTTTGTTTGTTATCGTTATTGTTGTGTTAAGAACATGAATCTTAAGCTTTTTTTACATGTTTTTTTCATTCACATTGCTGCTGCTGTTGAGAATATTTTTTCTTTCTTCTATAAGATTCTTTTCGATTACATAACAACAACAACAACAACAATACACACTTATACTTTTTTTCATGTCAATCATTTGTTACACACATAACGAAAAAAAAACCAAACAAACAAAATTCTTACCCAAAAACGAAAATTCATTCGATAGGTTTTGTTGTAAGAATATTCTTGAGCATAGTTTTTTTGAATACTTATAAAATAATAATAATAAAAGTATACTTCTTTTTTTACGATTATTTGTCGTAGTCGCCGTCTTTGTTTTATTATTATTATTCGTTGATTATGTTAAATGAGAATATTCAATTCAATTCGGTTTTTTTTCAGTGTGTAAATGATAATGATAATGATGATGAAAATTCTCTCTCTCTCTCTCTCTCTCTCTCTCTCTCTCTCTCTCTTGAAGA